AGCTGTCTTCTGGTGTTCATGAGTCGCTTACGAATCAATATCACCTTCGAATTCCAATTTGTAATCCTGAAATGCAAGTAGGCAGCGCGAGAACTTGTGAACTGCCCTAAGCACGGGAAAACACAGGGATTTGTTAGATTAACTGCTTTATTTGATGCGGCCCTCATAAAAATTAACTGCATATCCTTTTCTTTCTAACTTGCCAAGATTGTCCAGAATGTCGGTGAATAAATCAATAGGCACGATAAAGCATCATCCGCATTCATTTATCCACGCAACCCAAATGAAACACCCCTGTTTCACCGTCTGCTATGCAACTGTCTTACTACAGAGTGAGATAGCACTAAATGATTTTTTTGTTTTATCCGCACTGAATTTCCGCAATGATGAACTAATTGATTACTCTAGATCCGAAACACCTTTTCGGTTCATTTGCTCAAAACTATCGATATTTGATCGGCGTTTCTTCCCGTTTGTTCACTAATTGCAGTTTGCTAGGTTTAATCAATGACTGTGGAAGAAGCACGATACAAATTCTGTGCATTTCTTTTTTGAATGAAATTACGCGAAGAATTCGTGGGTGTGGGTTTCAATTTGAGCGAAGCGACACAATAATTCCAGATTTGGGATAGTTTTTTGTTTCTACTTTAGTTTTGTTTATTGCAGACATACCAAGTCAATGATACTAATTGTAGGTCACTGGTGTCGGTTTTTTAACTAAACCCATTTTTTCATTGTTGTCATGATTGCAACAGATATTTCCAGCTCATACAAATAGCCAGAGTCCGATGAATACACACTTCGAATCGCAAGTAACCATGGGTGCTTTGTTCATTTTTCGTGATAAAAATAGTGCGTTCTTTACCGTTTGAATGTTTTATATTCTTCTGTTGTGTACCTCAGACGGATCGAATGTCAGCCGGACAACATTACTATTGATGTGGTCCCTATGTGTCGAAGCGTGTGACCAGCCATTATCCGTGGAGGCTTGCTTTGTTTGAACCCACCAGTTCCTTTGTATTTAGATATTTGCTAATTAGAAGCCTCCAAATGGTATCAGCTGCTTTGTGTTGAGAATAATTACACACCCAATTAACATGATACGGAAGAAATCTAGCTAATTCACCCGGTAACTTGCATTAGATCGATGTTCTCGCAGAAGCATAAACAATACTTCTGGTTCAAATAGGTTAATCTTTGATCAACTCTGAAAATAAGCGGCTCAAAGTCGAGTGGTTCTGAAAGCATCACTGACATCCGCTTTAAGTTGGTAAACTGGTAAACAGCTCAGTTCCGTAAATGGACATGGCACAAGTAAAATGAAGACGGATCAGACGATAATGATTGTCTTAAGACCTCCTGTATCCTGTCTATTTAGTATCACTCGAAAAAGGAATTATGTTCTAATATTTGGACAGTATTGCACTGTCTGGAATGAAGTGTCAGATGCTTTCTCGAGCGCTTAAATTCTCAAGTGAGTGGCAAATTTGAGTTATTTTTCAATAATCGATTCTCTAAGTTTATTCATTATTTACTGGTGTGCACAAGGTGAATAATTTCTTAGGTTTTATGCCCCGATGAAAGTACCTTTCTCTTAGAATAGAGCTAAACGCATGTTCCTACAATTTGGACACAAGGTTTACCCTTTGCGGACAATCATCATCGTCGCCTATCCCACCGAATTCACAGGGCTTCTCGTCCCCTCCTTGAACGAGGGATTTTCACTCAAAGCAATAATTATTCGGGCCAAACAGGATTTGCTTTTCCTAAATACCTCATAAAGCCTTGTTCACTCGCCACTGAGTTGCTGCAGTTACACAACTGAGAGATACTTGGTCAGTTAATACTCATTTATTACTAGTGAAATATATTGATAATATTGGATTTCAGTACGCTTGAGTGTTCAACAGATGCTGTCTTATAGATGTCCAATGTTAAATATCAGTGACCTTCTGAGTGAGCCTCTTAAGAAGCAGCAGGATTGCTGTACAGCATCACCGGTTAAGCGTTACGAGCGATAAGCTGCAACCGATGACAGGGTGTTCTCGAGGCAATAAGAGACTTCATCGCTTTGCAGTTCACCACACTGTGTCACGTGAATGCAACCCTCTGTGCATTTTAGTACTTGTTGCTTGAGTTAAAACGCAGCAACCACGTAGTGCATTTATAGGTTTCCAAAGTATAATAAAGAAAACTGAGTCATTCAGAGGCCTATGTTTTTGTGTTAAACTTAATAATAGTTGTGATTTACTCTACAAAAAATCAATCTACCAATAAGCGATATGATATTCTAGGATCAACGAAAGAGGATTTGTGCAGATAGTTGTTTTTTACAAATTGACTTTGTATGTTGAGAATCTAAAAAAATTCAGTAGCCACGGTGGGATTGGAACTCATGCATGGACGCCGCCTACACCTTAGTACAGCGCACGCTCTACCAGCTGAGCTACAAAACCACACCGATAGAGCTAATTGGATGGGTAACTCGCAACAGGATTTGTTACATTAAGTCATCAGTTAAAAATCTACTCCCTGGAATACACTAATTAAACAGAATTTTCAAACTAAATAGAAACTTTGCGGCAATCTCTTAGCAAAAGCGAAACATAAGAGAGACATTTCGAAACTGTTGAATTTGCGACGTTCGCGGGAGTGCACCAGTGGTAACGTTACCGAATTATCATCCCGGGGGGGGGGTTGTTCTTGAATTCCACAACCATTACCTGGTTGTTTGTTGTATGGAAATTTTTCAATTGCCTTCTTCTCTTTTCCTGAAAATTATGGTTGTGTATTAAACAAATGGGAGCAAAGATAACAACGATTGGAAAACGATGGGCGAAAATATGGACGATTGCATTCACAAAGTCTCTTCCGCCCGAATGGGTTAAAATTAATTTATTGGATGCATTACACGAATTATTTTGTACCGATATTAGCAAAGGCATAAGAGAATTGTTGAACCAAAACTGAAAGAAAACTAACAGAGAATAGACAAAACAGTACATAAACATCCCAGTAAAATCAAGGGGAATTCCTAAGGCATTGTTTGTCTTGTCAACTGAACAACTTATATACCGTAGCCCTATTTTGCAGTCAACGCTTATATGTTACTAAAAACTGAGTGAACCGTATTGTCTCATAGGAACCACTGAAACGCCCATTTGGTCTGATAAAAGGACTACTTCTAAGCACAAATGATACAAAGAACTGGTTTGAGGCTAAGCCGATCAATTTGAATAACTCAACCCTAAGGTTTCAGTTCTATCTTCCTTGTTCAAATTTATCTCAGAAGAAGAGTGATTCAAGTTTCCCACATGTCATTTACGCCCCATAGTAATGACTAAACACACCATTCTTTTAAAAAGATAAACAAAACTCTGAGTTCTGTTGAATTCGTGGAAGCATCAAGCATATGATGTGAAAAAGTCAGTGGTTACCTGATCGCTTTATATGGTGATGCTATCCACTTATTTGATTAAACTGTTCCTCCTGAACACTCTGGGGGGGGGGAGAAACTGGTGAACAGATGTTCCAGCAGTGTTAGATGTCAACATTATAGACAGTAGGGTCTCACTGAGAATGAGTTATTTGTATAGAAGCTGAATAAACAAATGTATGTTTGATTGCTTTTGCGTGAGCAATGAAGAATTAGAAGGCCTCAGGGAGAATGAATATGAAAAACGCTCTAAGACTGTCAGACGTTTTGTAGGTCATCCACTGTATGCAGTAGTTGAGTTTAATAAAGGCAACATTGATGTAATCGAATATTATTGCGGACACGATGCTTCAGCCAAGGGGCCTGTCTGCGGTGAAACAATGCGTGTACCCCGAGTTTGGCGCTTTAACATATTTGAAAAATTCTCGGTCAATCGCTAGTACCGTTCTTGTCTAAAAGTCAACATACTGCTTTGAGTGTCAAGTCAGTTTAAAGCTTGTCTTTTATGAATCTTTCATGACTGCTCATATTTTCATCAAACCAACACAGAAACACAAGAAAATTATGTCTTATACTCGCAGCTCTAACAGCTAAATGACGCAACTTTCACCGCCAATGGTCATCCTGAGCAGTAAACTGTTAGCCAATAAAATTTATCGGATATTTTGTGTAAAACAATAATCAATGAAATTCCTCGTTCTTCAGACGGATGCAACTCAACAGTCTACCCACGTAACCATCTCCATTACAGATCGCTGTTTTCTGCAATCCAGTGAATTAATTACCATAGACAACTGTTTCTTCGCAAGCATAATAAATCATTCATCTCTTGGCAGATTCCTTGATAAGGTAATATTCAACTACTATCTCCTCTGGAACGTAATTTTTCTGTTCACCGTCGGCACCGGACTTTTACACTTGGGTGATCAACCATCTGACTGACAAAATGCCGACGTCATTTCGATAGACCTGATGCGTTTGAAATGAATCCGAATCCGTTTCAATAGAGTGCATATTTCTGAGCACCCGCATCTGTCCACCAGACCGAAAGCTGACGCCAGGGAAAGAGTAAATGGATTTAGGCTCGATATACAAAGCTAAATAGCACCTGATTCGGACGCTTGCAGGTGATTCATTGCGCATAAACCGCCGGCAATTTTCCTTGACTAAAAGCTGGCCGAAGAAAATGAATGTGATATTCCGGAAATACAGAAAGAATTATTTAGTTTCTCCAAACGGGACTCCATGCACGAGTATTTCTTTTTGCTTGGCGCTACTTCAATAATGGTTGATTTATTGGTGATTACACACGTTCTGAATGAGAAAAATTCGCTCTCATGTTAGTGAAAAGAAACGCAGTTACAGGCAAATGAGGACCTTAGAAAAATGCGGTTTTGAAGGCACACAAACTCCAAAGTGAGTACAGAGGCAAACGAAGGCGAATGGTAAAATCAAGTCACAGGGAAGTTGGCATGAGCATCACACTAAAAACCGACCCAACAAAATGTTTGGACAAGTTCCTGGTGAGAGGTGAGAAAATGAATGGAACCTATTCAGATTTTACTTAGAATCCGTCATCTTCTTCGATCGTTCCCTGTTCCAAATCACATGGTCGAATAAATTCCTGACCGCGTTCATGGAACCATACGTTCATGACCCATTTGGAACCAACCAATACAGGGCAAGCTGCATGTCTGGTTCGAAGATCGCCTTCGCCACTCGGTAGTAAGTTGTACCAAAACCCGGCAGCATTTTTTACTGGATTCACAAGTGCACCGATTCGGTTGAAAGCAGTGCCACCCCCAGCTGTCACATCACTCATCTGTGGGATATGAAATAATTCAGTGTGAAGCGGTGAATTTATGCATTTAGTGCTTGGCTATTGAAATAAACAGTCAGTAGTATAAACATTATACCCAAATTCTACTCGCAAGTATCGAAATCGAATCATGGGGCCAATGATGCGATATATTTATATTGTGGGCAGTGACCAAATTAGATCTAAAGGTAAATTTCATATTATATTGATTAAAGTATGGCATATAGCTATAATGCAATATAAGTTATGCATTTTCTGTTTATCTCTCTATCACTACTTCATACGCTCGAAATTGTGCAGGATTTGGTGGTGATAAACGCGTAAAACACTTCGTCGCATACGCCTTGCGATTCAGATTATGGGAGCAATTATCTAGCGAATATTGATTATCTCATAATTTTGGTATAAAACTATGAATATTTGGTGCTATACAATATAATGGTACAATTTTTCTTTTAACCACAATTTGCGAATGCGGCATCAAAGCATTACTCAATCACGTAACGAAAGGTTTGGTTGCAAACTATAATACTATCCTAGTGCTCTAGGGTGTTCCATGAAAAATATACTCAATGGAAGTATGTGTGAGTGCCTGTTACAGCCTGAGAGTGGCGTCACTCCTATGGATCCTTTCTGAGGTAGGTAGCCATTGGTATACAACGGGCTAGTTGATAATGCATTATCTCTTCCCATTGCTGTTGAGTGAGCGTCTGACATTCAAACGTTATCAGAAAATCTTGTGGTCTGTAAGATCTATGCCTATACGTGGACTAAAGAAATTGAAATCGAAAGGGTAACATCTTCCAATGTTTGCTAGTTTTTCCAATGTCCGCGATAAGCGGTTTGTCATATTTTTATTTTGACAAACTACTGTCCATGGGAAGAGCATCAAAAGAGTAAAACGAATAATTTTATTGATTTCTGTACGATACGATACTTTTGACGAAAAAGGGAACAAAGTTTAGACGAGAGCTCGTTGCCTAAGTGTTCAGAAGGTTAAATTCCAAAAATAGCTGGTCGAAAAAGTCGTATGTTTGGCGAGAATAGCCAAAAGAATAAAACCGCAGCTGGGTGAGCTTCCGGCCCGAAATGATCGATCACTGTATTTCACCACGGACGGTTCGACTTTTCTGATTGGTCAAACAGCGTAATCAACCGGGCAGTTCGACCATTCTGATTCGTCAATTGATATCAAACTTTCAGAACGCACCGGACGCGATAAAAAACAAGGAATGCTAACACGTAAGGATGACACAAAATAAAGATACTTTTCTCTAATATAATGTCCTGTGCCATTTTGATTGTGTTCTCTTCTTCGACTCGGTAGTTGGTGGTGCGATAGCAGTCTCAGCAACAGTCAATACACAACAACACAAAGGCTTGCGTTTTACATTAATAACAATAAGGTAATAAGTTGCATCCATTTGTACAAAAGGATCCATTATAGGAATACAGTTGATGATAATTTCATGACATTATCTCGGTGTTTTAAAAGTTGAGCATGGCATCACCTTGTCATTGATTGATGATTTGAAGGAATATATCATTTCAAACCGGAACATTTTGCACGCCAATCTACCCTTATCAACTATTTTTTCCCTTAGGCTAAAATGGATCAAATAGTCTTTGGACCACAACTTAGACTTTCTTTATATCGGGATTACGTCGTCTAACATGTAACGATCAGAACCACACGCATACATGTAATCAATCCAGCGTGAACCCGATGTACACGTATAATGCTTCGGATTCAGAACTGCAGTGCCCCTGTGATGAATTTTTGAAGTTAAAATTAACTGACTGGGGTTTTGTGAATTAAATCCCGTGCACTTGGATTACACACATTGCACATACCATTTAAGCAACCAAATAGTCCATTGGGAAAGGAAACTCACATAGAATATGATAGTAGCGATGCGATTTCCATTCTTGATTTCAAATGCGTCTCTCTCGCGTTTCTATATGCAAAACGTGAATAAGAAGGATCACCTTATTTCGTGAACTACTTTTTGCCTTAAATGCTCAACACATAAAACTTTTTCGGGCACCAGAAATAAAGTGATTCCGGTTAATTGGAAAACGGGTTTTTTAAAGGAATTATTACTAAACTGACTCCACAAAATTCAAACACATGAATCACGTCACGTGCTATTTGAGACCAGGAAATCAAAAGGCAGATTGCCGAATCAGTTGAAGTCCTAAAACACTTTGGCTTGGCTGTACATATATCACAACACGGTCACTAATAACAAAGTGAAATTTTCAAATATATTCAGCTGGTAAATAAAGAAAAGTGTTTTCATACAAGATCACTGAAAATGCATCGGGAAAGAATGCAAATCAGCTCTAGTGATAGACGGCTAACGAAGATGACTGGTTCAATTATACACGTAACCAAATTTGTAATTATCACACCAATGAAATCGTTATACACAAACTTTATTTGAGCTAACTAATTCCAAACTAACTTATGGTTACTTGTGAGTAGTGATGTGCAATAATCGTTATATGTTGGAAGCGAACATCATTTAGACTTCACCTTCACGCAGAATCCTCGTGTCTTCCAGTCTAACGCACTCGGAATCAGTAAACCTGCGTTGTTTCTTATCAGAGTTCATCAGTAACGAACATATATCATCCTGCGCGGGCTCTGAAATCCGGATAGTTTTTCCAACTAGCTAATACTGGGACTGAACCGAATTGCCAATTCATCTTGCTTCAGGTGTTGTCTTCGGTGATAGTCAGTCGCTGTACCAGAAGGTACTGGCTAAATACCAACACCTGAACAAGCATGAATTTGCAATCCGGTTCAGCCCTGGAACCAACTGGTCTGCATAGTGGTCCGGAGTTAAAAGTGCGGATGGTCCAGTGGATATGCACTACCGACAACCTACAATGGGAGCGGAACTCGAGTTTCTACTTCCCATTGAGTTTGACTTAAAGAACTGAAAATTGTAAATAAAGGTAAAGTCTGAAGAATGGTCGATTATGATCAATAAGTTTCTAACCAGTGGATGCCGTTTGAAGACAACCGGTCAGAAGAAATGGTTTGATTCTGGGTGGGAGACGGAAACAAATTCGCGGAGCTATTTTTTGTTACCACAGAAAAATTTGTCTTGAATCAATGGAAAACAGTGGTTCGGTTTAATCGATCTATAAAACTTTATCTTGAACAACGCCAAAAGAATCGTTTATCTATGATGGTTTTGGTAATGTCTAATACCTAATGGACCAAACTTTTTTAGTTCGCATAGCCGATCCGATATTACAAAAACAAAAACTACAACTCTGCATGACACATTTGCATTTGTGCACGCAATTTGTGACTGACGTACCCGGCCAAAATCAAAATGTGGGGCATAATAGCCACCGATTCCGTAGTTACCGACTTGCAAATCTTCCGCGGTCTCCATGCTTAATCCAGTTAGGGCATGAATGCGCTTATTCATCCGATGGGTCACTTCATCCAGATCATCCGGAAGCCAGGCACTGTATCAACCAGAAAAGAATTGAAGTGTCCGTTTTACGCAGTGCTTTTGTTCAGTATTATATTTAAGGAGTCGTAGTTTTGGAACAAAATACTAGAGATGAATGCACCCAGTTGAGTAAAAAAATTTTCAATTTTCGGAATACCAATTGTAACTTTACATCTGCTTTTCGTTCACAAAAATTACATCAATTTTATAGTTCTTTTTCATGTAAGGGAATGAATAAAAACTAAATAGAACGCATTTGTTTTCTGAGACCGAGGATTGCACAACCTTCCATTCAAAAAAGGTTACGGAAGTTCAGGTTATCCGATTCGGCGTTTCCATCAGGGGCATGAAGCAGCGTTAGATTTGTTCAGTCAGTTTTATCTAACATTTTGAAAACCTAGTGTTGAAACCTTAGATTAAAACTGTTACAAATTGATGCATATTTATTGCTTAGCCATCCCAACTCATAGTACCTGAATGGATATGACTTTCAATAATGACTAGATACAATAAACTTTGGTACCACACGGAATTTTTCGTGATAATTATCGTTTGTTGAGTATTTGCGTCTACCATTTTCGTATGATTGATCGTTCGATCACAGACGTCAATGGTTCTTACACGTTTGATACTTGTGTTGCAAGATATGTGTCCGTCTTGCATATTACGGGCAACAACATGTATGAATGGTTATTATTTAGATCATCGATAGGCGTATCTTTCGTGGTTTCTTCGTATCGAAACCAACAAAATAAATCTCGTCTGCGGTGATAAGCTTGAATAACTCAAAGTCAAAGTCAAAGTTTTATTATGGGAATAGCTTACAGGCTGGTGCTTCTCTTGTC